TCAATGTGAGATCTTATCACTTCTTATTTGCTCCCTGGTTGTCCCTCCTTTCAGGGCTGATGGGGAGGGAGAGATGGGCAGGGAGGAGGCCCGGGGGAAGGGAGGCGGGTTTGGATGACCATCACTTCTGTGATACAGACAGTGGATTATAAAAGCCAAACTTTGGTGTAAAGTAATAGAGTCCCTAGAACCTGTAACCAGTTTCCTCCCCTGCCCTCCTGAGCACGACAAGGTCTCAGCGCATTTCCCAGCCATCATCCTTCATTCCTTCCCTTTCTCCTTTCATCGTTGAAAGCCAATGGCGGGCACCATGATGAGGTACCGCCTGCCTATGTGCCTCCCATTCTCTCTAGAGGCTCTCCTGAGTCTCATGGTTGTGATGGGGCCCCTGACTTCCTGTTACAAGCTTATCAGGATTTAATCTGAGGCCAGGCAGCCAATTGCCCAAATTAGTAGTTAGTAAAATTAGAACAAACAGAGGTAAGTAGCCCTTACCTAGCACCCGGTCTTCCTGTGACTTTAACTTCAGCACAGAGATTACTGAGGTGCTACAATTTTCTGATCAATGATGATAATTTTCTTCCCCTTAAGATAAGCTTAATCATGCTAAGGGGCTTAGAGAACACCAGGGTCAAAAGAAAATGACATGATTGTGCAGGATTTCTCCAAGGCCTCGGTTTATTTTGCACATCATGATAACTGATGTAGTGCTGCTCTGCTCAGAAGCAGTGCATGGCACACTTGGAAAAATTGTGAGGAGCCACCCGGTAGTGCTGCGGGGCTCCCTAGAAAACTACAGAGAAGAGTCTATTATGGTCCAGCCGCAGACACCTGACTCTGCAAAGCCCCCTGCCCCCCCTCCACTGCCCTGAGCTGTAGTGTTGTTGTTGTTTTTTTTTTAGTTTATTTATTTTTGAGAGAGAGAGACAGTGCAAGTGGGGAAGGGCAGCGAGAGAGGGAGACACAGAATCTGAAGCAGGCTCCAGGCTCTGAGCTGTCAGCACAGAACCCGTTGCGGGGTTCCAACCCACGAACCATGAGATCATGACCTGAGCTGAAGTCGGGACGCTTTAACCAACTGAGCCACCCAGGAGCCCCCCCCACCCCCACTCCCGAGCTGTAGTTTTAAAATTGAAGAAACCAAGGTTGACACCTCACTTTTGCCAAACACGTGTCCCAAGCCTGGGATCCAAAGATAGTCCTAATAGGGTGCGAATGGCAAAATGAAGAGAACTCCCCAGCCCTGCCCCCGCCCCCTCCTGCACGTGTGTGTCACAGCTGGGATGTGCGGCTAGTGCAGGCATATCTGCCCACCGGACTCAGCGCTAGCAGAGTGGGAGCCAGGGGTCTCCGCGCTTGTTCAGCCAGTCTGATTACTAGTTTTTCCCCTGCTGTTTCCCAATCAATCATCCAGTTTTGAACTTGTCTATTTTCTTCAGCCGTTTGTTCTGTATCGTCATCTAAGCTGCAAAGGCATATTTTATCAGTTGACTTATGCTAGTTGAAAGCATTAAAATGCAGACTGTAAATCCGTTAACAAACTGACCATTTCATGAATCGCCAACCCATTTCTTGTGAATAAGAACGGAGATAAACAATGACTAAGGACACTGAAAAGCAGCAAGGCACTAACCCAAAAACGGATGGCTGTGTCAGGGGCCGAGGAATTCCATTTACCTCGGGTGTTCACACCAGCCGGATCACCAGAGAGGATGCTGACTGCACGGGGGTGACTCATAGTACCTGCAGGCAGCGGCTAGACACAGGATGGGTGTCCGATGCCTCTCTCTATCTGCCTGCCTTTCTTGGCACCACCACAAACACGATTATGAAATTTAATTCGTAGTGCTTAGGTCCTAAACCCAAACCTGAACCAACAGAAGGACTTCAAGTAGAACACAAAAACTTAACCCACTCTAATCTCCCCTGCTTGCTCGTCTAAACACACACCTCCTTCCTGCATTGTTTCAACTGGGCAGGATTTCCACCCCCTTTCTAATCCAACCCAGTCCTATTTTGTTGCTAACAACCTCTGAGAAATGTATTGTTATGTAAGAAGGAAGAAAAGCAAAATGCAGATTCCCTGCTCCCCGCTCCCCGCCCCCCCCCCCCCCCCCCCCCCCCCCCCCCCCCCCCCCCCCCCCCCCCCCCCCCCCCCCCCCGTTCCAGAGCATATTCTGCTTCAGAAATGGGCCCTTATGGGCGCCTGGGTGGCTTAGTCGGTTAAGCGTCTGACTTTCACTTAGGTCATGATCTCACGGTTCGTGGGTTCGAGCCCCGCGTCGGGCTCTGTGCTGACTGCCAGCTCAGAGCCTGGAGCCTGTTTCTGTTTTTGACTCCCTCTTTCTCTGACCCTCCCCTGCTCATGCTGTCTCTCTGTCTCTCTCTCTCTCTCTCTCCTAGAAATAAATGAAAATATTAAAAAAAAAAAAAAGAAATGGGCCCTTAAAAGATCAATTCTCTTTTACCATAGATTCAGCCATCAAGCTCTTTGGTATTTTCCCAAAGGAGTTAAAAACTTAGGTCTGTACAAATGTTGCACACAGAGGTTGCTAGCCGCTTTATTCATAATTGCCAAAACTTGGAAGCAACCAAAACATCCTTCAGTAGGTAAATGAATTAAGAAGTGTGGTACTTTCAGACAGTGGAGTGTTATTTAGCACCAAAAAGAAATGAGCTTATCATGCCATGAAAAGACATGCAGGAGCTTTAAATGCCTGTTACCAAGTGAAGGAAGCCAATCTGAGAAGGCTACATGCTGTATGATTCCAATTGTACTCCATTTGGGGAAAGGCAAAATTATGGAGGCAGTAAAAAGATCAGTGGTTGGGTGGGGTTGGGCGGAAGGAGGGATGAGTCGGTGGAGCATGGAGGATTTTTAGGGCAGAGAAATGATTCTGGAGGATACTATCATGGTGGATTTATGTCATTATACATTGGCCAAGCCCACAGAATGTACAACACATGAGAGAGCCCTAATGTGAACTCTGAATTTGGGGTGATTATGATGCAGCAGTGTAGGTTCACTGGTTGTGACAACTGTACCACTTTTAGAGGATGTTGATAATGGGGGATCCCATGTGGGGATAGGGGGTATAAGGGAACTTTTGTACCTTGCTTTTTTTAATGTTTTTATTTATTTTTGAGAGAGAGAGAGAGAGAGAGAGACAGCATGAGTTGGGGAGGAACAGAGAGAGTGGAGGAGACACAGAATCTGAAGCGGGTTGCGGGCTCTGAGATGTCAGCACAGAGCCTGACGTAGGGCTCCAACTCACAAACTGTGAGATCATGACCTGTCCAACGCTTAACCGATTGAGCCACTCAGGCGCCCCAAGTATACCTTTTTCTTAATTATGCTGTGAACCTAAAACTGCTCTAAAAGTCTTAAATACTGAGAACAGACTGAGGAGTGATGGAGGGTGGGGGAGAGGGGAACGTGGGTGATGGGCATTGAGGAGGGCACTTGTTGGGATGAGCACTGGGTTGCATGGAAACCAATTTGACAATAAACTATATTAAAATAATAAAAAAATTCATGATGTAAAAAAATAAAAAATACATAAAAATTAAAAAAAAGAAAACTGCTCTGAAAAATTAAGGCTTTATAAGGAAACAATATATAAAAATAACAACAGGCAGTAAAAATCATTTCGCTCTCGGGAAGCAGAGCACACCCTGGTCTATGTGTAGCATCGTCCTTTACCTCCCTAGGAGTGAGGTGACACTCAGGGCCCAGCAATGGTGATGTGCTTGGCTGCAGAGAAGTGGCCTGGCCATTTTCTGATGGTACAGATACCTCTGCTCTCTTGGCCTGAGCTGTCCAACACAGCAGCTATTAGCCACGTGAGTTATTTTAATTTAAATTTTTTTTAATGTTTTATTTATTTCTAGGAGAGAGAGACAGCGTGAGCAGGGGAGGGTCAGAGAGAGAGGGAGTCACAGACTGAAACAGGCTCCAGGCTCCGAGCTGGCAGTCAGCACAGAGCCCGACGCGGGGCTCGAACCCATGAACCGCGAGATCATGACCCAAGCGAAAGTCGGACGCTCAACCGACTAAGCCACCCAGGCACCCCTGAGTTATTTTAATTTAAATTAATAGGGGCGCCACTATTAATAGTGGTTCAGTTTGTTAAGCATCCGACTTATGCTCAGGTCATGATCTCGGGCATGGTTCATGGGTTCAGGCCCCGTGCTGACAGCTCAGAGCCTGGAGCCTGCTCCGGCATCTGTGACGCCCTCTCTCTCTGTCCCCTCCCCCCCCTCGTGCTCTGTCTCTGAAAGAATAAATAAATGTTAAAAAAATTTTTTTTAAATTAATAAAAATAAAACTACAAATTCATTTTGCACTGGTCTCATTTCTTTTTTTTTTTTTTTAATATTTTTTTTTTTNAGACACCGTGAGCAAGGGAGGGTCAGAGAGAGAGGGAGTCACAGACTGAAACAGGCTCCAGGCTCTGAGCCAGCAGTCAGCACAGAGCCCGACGCGGGTCTCGAACCCACGAACCGCGAGATCATGACCTAAGTGAAAGTCGGACGCTTAACCGACTAAGCCACCCAGGCGCCCCGCACTGGTCTCATTTCAAGTGCCCAATAGCCTATGCAGCTAATGGCTACTGTACTGGACAGTGCAGATCTGGGACATGTCCAGCATCTCAGAAAGTTCTACTGAATAACCGCTGCTCTAAACTCTGGGCAGCCCCACCTACTCACCTGGGGATTAAGCAAAATCACACATAGAGAAGGCTTTGTGGTCCCGGACGCTCGGTCCCAGATCCCAAATGACATCTGAGCAATGGACACTGTTTTCTAAGAGACCATTTCAGAAGATGGGGGCCCGTGGCAGGGCTGGGACCGGAAAGGACTTGAGAGATGTTGCTAACTGAATCAGTGCTTGCAGAGCAACTTCTCTTTTGCAATCCTTGCTGGTCTGACAGGCTCCTGCAGAATTACATCACTTCCTAAAAAACAGGCAAACACCTCTCCTTCAAGTTAGCACCAACCCAAACAAGCAGGAAACAGGAAATGTTCAGGTTTCAGGGAGGCTGAAGCCCAGCGCAGCCCAGCGCAGCATCATGCCGGGCCGAGCTGACAGGAAGGCTTCCCGGGCTGCTCTCCTCTTGGCCCTGGCGATTGTGCTCCTTCCCACCAGCCAGGCTTTGGGTAAGCTCCCTCCCCGCTCTCCACCCCAGGGAAGGAGGATACCGAGGCTGGTTTAGTGCCCCAGGTGACAGAACTCTGCCGGGGAGGGGAACACCCAGAAACTAGTCCTTTCTGTGAAAGGAGAGAAAATCAGAATTGTAGTTTTGGGGGGTGGGCTTGGGGGGGCCCCCGGCTGGCTTTCCCCCTGCAGCTGGCCAATCCTGCTCCAGCTCACACATTCCATTTAACTTTCCCACAATTTTGCCTTCTAACATGTGTGGGGTCCCTATAATTTCCCAGCTTTAACAGGCTTTTTTAAAGAAAACCATAAACTTTTGGCAGTTCGTGTAAAAGAACATTTCAATCAGCTGAAACAGAGAAATAATGAATTTACTTTTAATAAGGTGGGCTGAGAAATGTGCTAGTCCCAAAACCTTTGAAAAACTGGGGTATGGAAATATACTACTAGAAAGTATACCAAAGAAAAACAGTAAGTTAGAAATAAAAGTAAACAAAATTATCTGAAGAGTTACCAGCATCCATTCCAACTTATCAAGAGAAGTCTTTCATCTGCTTTTCTTTGATCTTGCTAGATTAGGGGATATTTTCTTTGCATTGATTGTTACTAATGAAACTTTCTTTGATTTTTTATTGAATCTTTTAAAAATGGTTTTTATTTATTTTTGAGAGTGACAGAGAGAGAGAGAGAGAGAGCACGTGCGAGCATGAGTGGGAGAAGGGCAGAGAGAGAGAGGGAGACACAGAATCTGAAGCAGGCTCTAGGCTTTGAGCTGTCAGCACAGAGCCCGACACAGGGCTCAAACTTGTGAACTGTGAGATCATGACGTGAACCGAAATCAGACGCTTAACTAACTGAGCCACCCAGGCGTCCCATGAAGCTTTATTTTGAAAAGTATTGTGGTTGTAACAAATCAAAGGTATTGGAAAACACAAAATATTAAATCGTAGTATTTTGAGCTAAGAGCAGCAATTGATAGTTGCTACAACAAAAGCACGATCAGCCTCGATTGCCTTGCTTATAGTTTTGTTGACTTGCCCTTGGGTAAATACACTCATTGCCCATGCTTTCTGTCAAGGGATACTACCTGCTTCTAGTGTAGAGCAGTATTTCAAGCAAAAGGAAGTTCTCAAGCTACAGTTCTTTAAATAGGATGGGGGCGGGGTCGAGGGAGGCATCAGGCCCTGATGTAGCAGATGTGGCAATTTCCTGGGGATTCACAGTCCTTACCCAACCACACCGTCCCACCAACTTTGCTTGCCCTGGGTGCTCTCCGTGTGGTGTTGTCAGGCATCCGAGGTGGAAAATGAAAAGTGAAAGGCAAGCCATTCCAACGGGAAAGGTTTTGGGTTGAAATGGGATGTCGTGTTTAAGATGAGCAGGGGACACAATGTGTTGTCTTAGGCACAAATTGGGCGCTAGGAGCGAGCACCAAGATGACACAGCTCAAGCTGCGTTGGTGGCTACCACACATGCGTCATACATGTCCTGAGAGTAATATTTAGGCTTGCCTGAGTACTTTCTTGACGTTTCTGAGTCCAGGTGTCTGCCATGTGGGAGATACAAAAGGTTCATCTGAAGAATCAGTACAAGTTTTCTTTCTAATACTCGTGTCTGATCAGTGGTTCTTCCACATAAAGACCTTTGGTTGCTCCTCGTTGATTCCCCTGAGACTCTCGCTTCAACACCCTTTCCGTGGCATCTCCTTCTGTTTGCCCTCCCACTGTCTGACCGAATGCAGCATGTGCTCCAGGCCTCTGTGGCTCTTGTTAAAAGTGAACGACAAGTTCTCTTTTTTCTACTTCCTAAACTCCTAAAGATCCAGACTGAAGGTCATCTCTTCCTTGATGTCTCCTTTTACTGCTCTTTGCCTGGTGTTCTGCCTTTACCTGTATTATGCCCACATAAAACTAAACTTCTATAAACATAGCTAATCATGTTAAGTCCTAATTGTGTATGTGTCCACATCTCCCACCAGGCTGTGAGTGCCTGCAGGGAAAATCCTCTGTAGCTAGCTCATCTTTGACTTCCCTAAACCCTGTCTGGATCAGCATAAAGAACTCCATAATTGTTGATAAATACTAAAATCCTTCTAGAATGGATTCAAAGGGGCTTCTGGGTGGCTCAGTCGATTTAGCGTCTGACTTCGGTTCAGGTCATAATCTCACAGTCCGTAAGTTTGAGCCCCACATCGGGCTCTGTGCTGACAGCCCAGAGCCTGAAACCTGCTTCAGATTCTGTGTGTGTCTCTCTCTGCCCCTCCCCTGCTTGTGTCCTCTCAAATATAAATAAATAAACATTAAAAAAAAAAAAAACCCTGCCATCAGAATAGATTTGAGGCTGATCTCTAAAAACTGATGAGCTCCTGAAAACAAGTATCGTTAGAATGTCAGGGAAGTCAGAGGTGAAAAGCTGCATTTCAGCCAAGTGCAGGATTTATATGGATAATCCAAGACACTTACTGGGCCCTGTCTGGATTTTCAAAGTCAGAAAATGCAAAAATGCCCTCTTGCAAAAAGCTGTATAATCAAAGTCAAGGGAAGCCTCTTATAAACACTGATTATATATTTTAAATTAATGAATGTATACCATTCTGAGCCCATGGTGCCTAAGACTTCAGGATGTGAGTTAGTTGATAAGTGTCACACTTGTATTTCTTTGAATCCTTCAAAGAGTATCCTGGTGATGTTTGGTAGTAGAATCCAATCTACTGAGCAGCCTGACTCTCTTCCCTGCACACATATTCCAGGATACAGCTCAAATCAAGCCAACCACAAACAGGCAACATAACCTAATACCTGCAGTTACCTGGACCGGAGTCAATACTTCTGAGTCAGTGTCTTTTCTCTTTATAGAGAGAGTCTGATGTAGACTTGATTAATATCCCAAGTGAAATAATCTACTTAGAAACCACCGGGAGAGAAATGAGAAAACAGCTTTTTTGGGATTTTGACCAAACAGATGAGCAGAGTAGAAGAAAAGCTATGGATTTAGGTATCTTGGCCAGGGTTGGATGCTAAGAAAATGCAGACTCAATGTCAAGGCAACATTCTGTCCAATGAGTGAGGGAGTCACTTCCACCTGGTTTCTTGCGCTGTTTCCTGTCTGTGTCAGCTTAACACTATCAGAAAGCAAAAAGCAACTTCCCAGACACCAAAGACATGGGATTTATTATCTGCTATGAGCATAATGGCTCTAGAAAGGAGGGCTGAGGGCATGACACAGAAAACAAGGAGGCTGTAACTGTTTTGGTGGCCAGGGTTAAACACTGGGTTTGACAGGGACAACTGGGAAATTTTCTACACTGTTTCAGGAGGGCAATAATCATGTAATTATAAGCTAACCCTTGGGAAGAAAGAATTAAATAAAATACTAGTTACATAAATGGAGTTCCACTTTCTGACACTGATCTCATTTCAATGAATGTGACTGGCATCTATCTGCTATTGCCTGGGACAGTTCCGATTTCAAGTAGTAATGATGATAGCAAACACATATAGTATTCATTGTATGCCAGGCGCTGTTCTAAATAATTTATACTAACTCATTTGATTTTCCTAACAATCTTAAACATATGTCCCTCTTTTACATATGAGAAAGTGGAGTCACTAAGAGGTTAAGGGACTTGCCTCCGGTCAAGTTAAATAAAGACATAATTAAGATTCAGTCTCAGGAGTCCATGCTCTAACATATACTATACCTCTGGGTTTTTAGGCTCTGCCAGGATATGTGGCTAGTTTCAGGTTTAGAAAAAAATATATCCCTGTTTTCCTTTTAACTGTAGATGGATCCCATGCATTGTTAGTTGGGGTCTAATGTTACTGCATATTAATAAAGGAGCTGTATCTGGTTGGGTCAGAGACTAGTCTACAGGAAAACCCATTGAACTTTGGCCTTTAGAGGGGGGAGGGAAGGGCTGCAAGGTGCAGCGTGAGTAACAGAGAATCTGGGGATTAGCATAGTTAAGACCAGAAGCAGGAAACGTGGAATGATGAAGTCACTGGGTAAGAGGCTTCGGGGTGTGGGAACCAGGGGGAGAAAGCACAGTGTGTCAGTCACTGTGGGAGAACGCTACTGAGAACTGACCCCAAGGACCAAACAGCCTTCAGGGACCAAAAAAGCAGGCAGAAAGGGATTGATTGAGGCTTAAAGTCCCTCTGTGTCTAAAAGCCTGATCCAAGAAACCAGGAGAGGGCTGGATTGTGGCTGGGATGGGCCCAGTTCTGCAAAGAAATAATACAACCTGCAATCTGCCTACTTGTGTGTAGTTTGCACCATCCTCATATGTTGGCAGAGATGTGGAGAAAGAAGAACTCTGTACCACCGATGGGAGGGTTAGTGCCATCACCCAGTTCATCCTGCTGCTTAACCCACTCATTGACCTTTTCCTTTCAGCTATATTTTTCGTTCTAGAAAAAAAATTTTCATTTCCAGAAAAAAAATATATATCTTGCTTTTATTTTTCTTTGTGTGTTTTATTCCTTCTACGTCTTTGTTTTAAACATAGTATTATCGAATAGTTTTATCTGCAGTTTATACAGACCCGGTCCTGTAGTTCATCTCAGTTGATTCCTGTTCATGATAGAAATCTTGGGGGCACCGAGGACACGATCTGGCGCACAGAGGAAGATTCATTCCATTTAACAGAAACCCAACTTTCTAAAAATTCTGTCACCAAGTTATTGTAAATACTTTCCCAATACAACCTAGTCCTGTCACCACAGAATAGAGTTTGGAAGAAATGGAGGCAGGGATTTGCTAGGCCTGAGGAGAGCCAGAGGATGGACCTTAGGCTTAAAGCCCAGCCTTGGGATGGAGAGGAGACAGGCTGAGCCAGCCTCAGGGGTCAGACTCCAAGAGTTATATGAGGAGGTGCCAAAACATCATTAAAGGCACAAGCCAACAAACCACACAAGTCAACACCAGAAACAGATAACCAAAGATGCCAAAGTTATTGCCAAGGAGAAAGACGTAGACAAAATCAAACTGACAATCAGAAGAG